TTCAACTGACACTTTGTGATGGGGTGGACTAGGCCCCGAAGCCCCCTGCTGGAAGCTTGTGGCCTTAGAAAAAAGAGCAGAGGAGAAGTCCTCCAGGTGAGCTAGGGTGGCTCCTTCCACTGTAACCAATCAAAGCCCAGTAAGCCAGTATAAAGAAGCTGCTCAGCCAGAGCTAGTCATTCCTCTTTGAAAAGCCAGTATAAAGAAGCTGCTGGGCCAGAGCTAGTCATTCCTCTTTGAAGTTCAAGCTAGGTAGACCCAGAGACTGACTGAGAAAGTGGCAATACCTTGGATAGGTCAGTGTGGAGAACAGATTGCAGATCTGACTGAAGCCCAGGGCTGGCAAATGAAGATCAGAGGTTGTGGGTAGGAAAAGTTGCAGAATCCTGGACAGGGTGCTGTTGAAAATCTGAGAAAAAGCCTTGAGGTGAGGGCAGGGATGGTGCAGACCTAGGGGGAAGTGGCCCAGGGATCAAGTTGCAGTGAAACCTTAAGGACCGGTCACTCAGCAGACAATTGCTATTAACATGGTCCCTGAACTGGGACTCAGAGGAACGGGTAGGCCTATATTGATAGAATATTATTAGACAGAAAGCACCCAAATAACATAATCTAGACATGTTGTAGCTATGTTGGTCTCAAAATATTAGAGAGACATGGTTGTAGCTATGTTGGTCTCAAGATATTAGAGAGACATGGTGGATGACGTAATATCTTCTATTGGACCAATGTTTGGTCCAAGGCATTACCTTACAGTAGCTATTAAAGGGGGCAAGAAGAAGCATGGTCCTAGGCAAGCTAGAAGAAGAGGAACCTGGAACAGCATCCACTCCCAGAGCCAGGAGAAGGAGTGGGAGCTTGTGGACACATGTCTTTGGCCAGATGGGCACTCAAGAGAGGGTGAGCCCTCTATCTCCTAGCCCTTTCTGTTACTCAAAGAGATGTTTTTTTCTTGATTAGCCACATATAGTAAATACACAGATGACCAATGTGTCTTTTTTTAGAAGAGGGCCTTACAGTGGCAGCACATTAAAATTAACATTACAATTAATCTTTCTTCTACCGTTCTATAAGATGTGCCATACTGTTATCTCTGTTATATTACTGTGAAGTTAGTGTCCAATAGTCCTTCTCATGTGACTAAGAACTATCAATGTAAGGGTTGTACCATCAGGCTCATAATTTTAATCATATTTTTTAAACCACTTACTCATATGGGATGAATGCTGTTTATTTTAACAGCTATTTGGTCAGTTCATATTACTGTGTTATGATTACAATTGCCTTAGTGCTGTTTAAATTATGAATAAAATAATGTATAAAATGCATAGGTCACTCAGGTGCACCAAGAAAGTCATATTTAGTTACTATTGGGGGTTTCCTTAAAAATTTGAAAGAAGAACACCCATCTTGGGAATACTTGGTTAACAGGGCTTCAGCTGTGACAGACTGAATGTTGTTCTAAGGAAGAAACATTTGCTATGTAAAAGCATTTCTGCTAGACCCTGGTATTAGAATCTTTACAATATATTTTAGAAATGTGCATCTGTCTGTCTGTCCATCTGTGAGTATGATTATCTAAGGACTCCTCCTACCTAAACAGTAAGAGCTAGGACACCAAATTTGATATTCAGCTTCCTCTTGTCCTTACTTAAAGCAAGGTTTGGGTTTGGTTGAGCCATTATAATAGGCTGATAAAACATAAGTAAGGGAAATGTAGGCCTTCTTTTAACAGTGTATTTTTAACTGCTGAAAAGATAGTGGTAAACTATCTATGTAATTATAATCTTCATCCCTTGAGCTATTATTTCTCTATCTAAACTAGTTAATGTCTAGTCAGGACTTGGATGGGATGGCGGTAAACCTCATTTCACGAGGAAGAACGCCTTCTTTCGAAAGTTCCTCTTTCGAAAGAAGGCGTTCTTCAATGTAAATAGGGCTTCTTCAAAAGAGAGTATCCAGACTCACTGGATGCTTTCTTTCGAAAAAGCAAGCCGCTTTTTCGAAAGTTCAACGTGCAGTCTAGACGCTCTCTTTCGAAAGAGGCTCTTTCGAAAGAGCCTCTTTTGAAAGAGGCTTGCAGTCTAGACATAGCCTAAGGGAAATGTAGGCCTTCTTTTAACAGTGTATGTTTAACTGCTGAAAAGATAGCGGTAAACTATCTATGTAATTATAACCTTCATCCCTTGAGCTATTATTTCTCAACCTAAACTAGATAATGTCTGGTCAGGACTTGGATGGAAGTCCTTTAGAGAATAACTAGGTGCCGCAGTAAGTGACAATGAAGATTCAGAATATAGCACTATTGCTCCATTGGTCAACACTGACCCAATGCCCTACTATCAAATTCTGGATGATATGCCTTTGGAAGAGCCTCTTTCAGAAGAGAAGCAAAACTAAGGCTTGGTGCTCATAGTGTTTACACCAGTATTTTGCCAAATATCAGCTTGGATACCTACATTCCAACTACCTGAATTTTCATTATTGTTACTCTTCACTTCCTTTCTCCAAAAACTGTTGTGCAGTTTGTCCGATTCAGAATAAGTATAAGAATAACCCTCTCCGGTGACTGTTGTATTTAAATAATGGGTGAAAACTACCCATATCATACTCTAAGATGAAAGTAACTTACTAAATGCAAAATTTAAAGTTAATGATAGGTAACAGATAAAAGAAACATAGGCTAACAGTGATGTCAGAACATTTCTTTTGGAATATCAAACATCTAAAGTTCTTAAAAGACTGAAATTAATTCTAGTTCTTCTCTGGCATTATTTCTGTAGGTTGAGAGTGTGAGTTATATCCGAGTTGCAAACTCAGTCTATTTAAAGTGTACTTCCCTTCAAACATTGCATTGCTAGAAAAGAAATATATTATACTGAAAGACTGAGAGACTTGACTAAGATTTTGTTTAGACAAGCTAGATTTATTTGCTTTTCCTTTAAAATTCATGTGTTAAAAATGATCTTATTTTCCACTTGCACAGACTAAATGGATTTTACATTCCTGAGAGCATAAGAAACTATTCTGGAATTGACTCTGGCTGGCATTTCCTTTAACACTTAACCATGTCATTTTAACAACTGTTTTCAATACTACAGGACAGAAAGGTCATTATTTCTGCTTTTGGTTTATTTATAACTGTGGACTCATAGAATTTTCTACTAATTTTTTTAAAATATTTTATTTGTAGACAACATATCCTGCACATTTTTCTTTTAATGAATGATGAAAATATACCATGTACCAGAAAGAACATACTATGCAGAATAATTTATTTACTTATATTTTTAGATTAAGGATGGTTGGTTAATAAAATCCTTTAACTGTATCATAACTAGCTACTAGGCATCATATACTTCAGAGAGTTCTGAATCTTGCATAGAAGGGTTTTCTTTAGGGTGGTGCAGAATTCAGGGTATTGAAAATAATTAACAAAATTAAACACTTCAAAGAATTGGACCCATTTGTTTCTAGACTCACTGGCTGTGTCTACATTGGCACCCCTTTCCGGAAAAGGGATGCTAATGTAGACTTCGGAATAGCAAAATCCGCGGGGGATTCAAATATCCCACGCGGCATTTGCATTTACATGGCTGCCGCTTTTTTCCGGCTTGGGGATAAGCCGGAGAAAACTGCCAGTCTAGACGTGATTCTCTGGAAAATAAGCCCTTTTGTGGAGGATCTCTTATTCCTACTTAAATCCCCCACGGATTTTGCTATTCCGATGTGTCTAATCTGCATCCCTTTTCTGGAAAAGGGTTGCAGTGTAGACACAGCCACTGATAACTTTCATGTTTGTTCCCTGAGAATTGTTATCACTTAAATTATGTCAACTCATGATGCTGTCTATATGTTTGTACACATAGGATTAAAATGTATCCCATTGCAGGTTATTTATGACATGCTATGATCCCATTGCAGATGCATATTCCTTTGTATTGGCGCTTTGCATAGGAGTGAATGCTACATAGTGGGGAGATTTCACATTTTGTGATGAAGGGGAAACAAAATGTTTTTGTCTAATGATTTTTTACACAGGACAAAAGGGACATAACATAGTACACTTCTGCAGTGTTTTGCTCTTCAGAAATAAAATAAAACCATGTATAGACACATAACTAAGCTCAGAACCCATGCTTAATTTTTTTACTAAAAAGACACTTGTGGCTGGAGATACCCAAAGAAGTTCCCTATCCTACCATCATTATTCAGGAAAAACTCCCAGGCTGCGTCTACACTGGCATGATTTTGTGAAAATACATTTAACGGAAAAGTATTTGCACAAGAGAGCATCTATACTGGCATGTGCCTTTGAGCAAAACATTTGCTTTTGTGCAAAGTATCTGTGCCAGAGTAGATGCTCTCTTGCGCAAGAAAGCTCTCATGACCATTTTAGCCATCGGGCTTTCTTGCACAAGAAATTGATGTTACCTATCTATACTGGCCTCTTGCGCAAGAACAGTTGCGCAAGAGGACTTATCCCTGAGAGGGAGCAACAGAGTATTTGCGCAAGAAGCACTGATTTCATACAGTAGAACATCAGTGTTCTTGCACAAATACTCACAGCCAGTGTAGACAGGCAGCAAGATTTTGCGCAAAAGTAGCTGCTTTTGCCAAAATCTTGCCAGTATAGACACAGCCCCATTGTTTCTAGATCAGAAAAACAGTTATGCATATTTTGTATAATTAATCCATTTTTCCCTCACCGAAGTTAAAATACATAAATCAGGATCAATTTCATATCTATCTGTCACTCTGTCAACAACTTAGAAAAATTAATATTAAAATAATTAGAAGAAAATAATGGAACAAAAACATGCAGTGCCAGATTGTCAGCTAGTCTAAATTGTCCTATATCTGTTAAAATCAATAGACCTATACCGATTTACCCCAGCTAAGGATCTGGGCCTATAATTTTTCTTTTCTTATTATTTATTAAAATCCTATTTTTTCTGTATTTCACCACTTTCACGGTGTAGAAGAATTGTAAGGTTCACCTGAAAACTTTTCTTATATTACCAATATGGTGTGAAGGAGTCTTAGTATAAAAGAAAATCAGGCCTTTTTTATTTTTTCCATTATGTAAAGCAAGTGTTGTCTATCATCATCTTCATTCTAAAAATAAAACAGGAACAATGTGATAATCAACAAGGAGTCAAGAAAATAGAGTTAGCAATAACCAGAACAAAATATCATGCAAAATTTTTAAACGCTCATCTCAATGTAATTTAAGCATAAATATTATCTTTTGTAGAAAAGGCACCTTAATGTATATTCTTTTTCAGACCCAGGAGATATCATCTATCTCATTTTCTTCTTTCTCTTAATCTCTCTCTCATTATCCAGGGGCACTGTTATCCTTAATCCTTGAGAATTAAGAACATAATTGATTGCTGCTGGAGGTTAGCAGCTAATTTTATAAAGCCTTTTTTGTATGTGTAGCCCCTCAACATCAGCAGTTGTGTAATCAAGGTATAGCAGGATATTCTAATTTTACTCTTCTCGTCAAACATATTCCATATTATTAACATGCCCCTGTTTCCAAAAGGCACACAGAGAAACATTTAGGGTGAAATCCCAGCTCGTTGAAGCCTATGCCAAAACTTCTGTTGATTTTTAGAGAGGTCCAGAATTCACCCATAATGTCAAAATAGATTTCAAGGTATGAAGTTTGTGTTGCTAGCTAAAAGTTATGAATGATGTCCATAGGAATAAGCCCCCTTATGTATAGCTGGTTGTAGGAAGTCTATTGTCTTTAAAAATAGCTTCTCTTTGAAATAAGTGGGAAAATCTCCTTCGTGTGGATTATTTTTCTAATTTAAAAATTTTTAATTACGTTTTTAGTAGCAGCTATAAGACTCAATGTGGATCAGCAGTAGGATGTACTCATTCTGGTTTTTGTTTTTGTTTTTGTTTTAATTTTCAGCCTGCCACTGTGCATATTAGCAGATTTTGTTATGATGTAATCTTTATTTATACAGGTATTATTTTGGTAAAGTGCTCCCCAAGACTTGTTCATGATACCAAGGTTGAGAAACCATTTTTAGAATATAAAAAGCAGATATGGAAATGTACATGATGGAAGCTTAGAAGCAACTTCCTCCATAATGGGTATGTTCTTGGTGCTATAAACAATAAAAATAGCTGAATAATGATGCTTAGTAGATGGATATTCTGGAGAGAAGGGATGGAGAGTGGCTTTGAAGGTAGGGGAGGGCATGAAAGAAAGGGACAAGTTTGCAATGTGTTCCTGAAACCTAGCAAAAAACTGGGCAGATACAACAGACAGGTGTTAACTGGCCTTTTAGAAAGGAGGGAAGAATAGGCAGATACAGAAGAGGAAGGTCTAGCTAGTAGCAAGCTGGATATCTGCAAAATTTTACCACTTTAGTCATGATTTTTCACAGATGTTTCAAAAACCATAAATACAGCAAAAATGAATTAACAGTGCAAACGACCAGTTCTATAGTGATTCTTACATGCCTGTCCTATGTGTTATCAGAAGTTAATTAAGTAGCTAAAGTATACTGATCAGTAAGCCTAATTTCCATAAGGAAAAAATTGGTTGTAATTATAAACACCATTGAAAAATCATCTAGGTGGGCCCTGAGGGACTGAAGTAAATCAAAATAATAGTATGTGTTAGAAATGGGGTGGAAGTTATTACTTAAGATACAATACCATTACGTGACTCCATGTAATACTTTGAACCTGAACACTTGTCCAGTACTGAGCACCGTATGTCAACCAATATATAGCATGAATAGAAGGTTCAGAAATGGATGGTGAAAATGCTCAGCACCATGGAAAGATTTTGGCATGATGAAGGAAACATAAAATACTTGCAAAGTTTTGTTTACAGAGGAAGCAAATAAAATGGACAGGATAATGGCATAAAAATGAATGGCATAAGGAAAATCAAATGGTATAAGGAAAGTCAATCAGCTACTCCTTTATTTAAAATGGGGCAGTCATTGAAATCCAAAGACAGAAAATGTATAACTGATAGGAGGACATATGTTAAGCAACACACAAGTATGCTGTGGGAATCATTGTCATGAGATATCATTGAACCCAAGAATACTAGGATTTCACAAAAGTTTGGGCATTTTAAAAAAAGGGAGTAAAGGATTTTTTAATAAAGTCTGTGAGATCTCATGCTTCAGGGCACCAGCCAGACACTCAGAGTGTATCTAAATTATATGGCTCCATTGATGGAGCCATGTAGATTAGGCAGGACAGCAAAGGGAAATGAAGCTGTGATTTAAATAATCGCCGCTTCATTTAAATAAAAATGGCTGCAGCGCTGTGCCGATCAGCTGATTGTTGGCACAGCATGGCAGTCTAGACAGGGATCTGCCAACCCCAGAACCCTTCGTCGGCAGATCCTTTAAGCCTTGTTTCACAAGGCATAAAGGATCTGCCGACGAAGAGTTCTGGAATAAATGGAATACAGGATCTGTCGAAAAAGCTCCCCGCTATTGGCAGAACTGCGGTTACACAGCACTTTCACTTTCAAAATGGCGTGTGATCGGCACAGCGCTGGAACGTGAGTATGCAAATGAAGCCCGGAATATTTAAATCCCAGGCTCATTTGCACTTGCTTTATTTGCATCCCAACAGAGGGATGCAGTCTGGAGGTAGCCATGGAAATAGCCTTTTGTCTTTAAGTCTTAGCAGTGGTTGAGAGGTGACTTCCCATGCACTAAGGGAATCTTTAAAAAAAATAGGAAAGTAGGAGTATTTTGTCTTTTGGCTTGCTGGTGTGGCACACCTGTGAAGAAACCAGAGACCCCCAGGAAAAGGAGACTTCCTTGGTTTGGAAGGCGTGGCCAAGAAAGAAACTGCTTTAGGGTGAGTTTGTAATAATTTTGTACTGAAGTTTTAGCGTAGAAGTAGCTAATTGTTTTCTGTTATTGTGAGTTTATAGTCTACTTTGCTCTGCCTGTTGTCACTTATTACCACTTAAATCCTACTGCTTGTTCTTAATATAATCACTTTTATTTTCTATCAAGCCCAGTGTAAATAATTATTACCTGAGGAAGGAATCAATGTGTACATTCCCCCTTTCATTATTAAAGGAGGCTTACCTAAATTATTCATTTGGAGTTCTGATCCCATTTGGGGAGTGGTATCCCAGGAAGCTGGGGCCAAAGCTGCATTTTTCTTGGCCCTGAAGAGATTCGGTGTCTGCATTGCTTCTCGAAGGGAGGGGGGGGTGGACCCTGATTCTCAGCTCTGTGCCTTGGCTGGCCCAGAAGAACAAAGCAGCGACAAGCCCCAGAGAGCAAAAAGGAGGGTGGCTGTGACCTTGTCAGCACCCAGGAATCACCCTTAAGCGTCACCTGTGACAGCACCATGTCACAGAGACTATTAATAGAAACTGGAATTTAAGCCTTACAAAAGGGCTGGTCATTTTAGGTTAGAAAGCATAGTTTGGGTTATTTTGTCACACCATTCCCAAGGCCAACTCTGAAGATATATCCTGGAAACATCACTGAGATACTTTGTGAGCAACCAATACAATAAACCCACTTCACAAAATGTTCTTAATTAAATTTTTGTAACTGTAGAATAACTTGTGAGTTTTATTGCAGCTGATTCTCATATTTATTGAACTGCTTACTATGATGTTGGAGCATAACAGACAGCACTTGTATATATCTCACATTCAAAGAGCCTGTAGAACTGGCAGAATTTAGAATGCTGCCTTGAGTGGTGGGTCTCCAGATTTATGCTGCTATATAACTGAGAATATAATTTGACCCAGTATGCTATTAATACAATCAATTAGAAAGAAAGAAATTTCCCATGTCAGTAATCTGGAACTAAACATAAAATTGCAAGAAAAATCACTTTTTACTTCCTAGGAATAACAAGAACAGAGGCCTGAACTATCTAAGGGTGATTCACCATAAATCTACAGTTATAGTAAAGAGAACTAAGGGACTTTCTTGGTGAAAAGTGCTCAGGCAGATAAAACTGGAAAGGTTTCAAAAAGAGATACAAGAATTATCTGAACTCTGTAATGTCTATCTTAGAGTAAGAGACTTAAGAAGCTTGATCTGTTGATCCAAAAGAAATTTAAGTTGTGACTTAATTGTTGTCAATAATTACCTTTAGGGTGAAAAGATTGCTGATAGAGGGATCTTTAATCTACTGAAAAGTGGCTGGAAGATGAAGTTGAATAAATTCACATTAGAAATAAGGTGCACATTTTAAAGTGAGGGCAATTAGCTATAAGAACAACATACCTACAGGTGGTATAGATTCTTCAGTCTTTGGAGTCTTAAAAAAACTGGCTATATTTCCAAAGACTATGGTATAACTCAGTCAGAAGTTGTGGGCTTGATGCAGGAATTACTGGACAAGGTAATATGAAGGTCAAACTAGATCCCCAGTCTTCAAACTTCATCGCACTATGACCCCTTTCTAATAACAAAAATTACTACACAACCCCATGGTGCAGAACTGAAGCCTGAGCTTGCCTGAGCCTCACCGCCCTAGATGGGCCAAAGAGGATGCCCAAGGAATTCAACGCTGTGCAGGAGGCTTGTAACTTGAGCCCCATTGCCCAGGGCTGAAGTGCAAGCCTAAGCCTGAAGCCCTTGGTCAGTAGGGCTTGGGGTTTGGCCTTTAGCCCCAGCAAGTCTAATGCCAGCCCTAGCCATGGCAATCCCATTAAAATGGAGCTGTGACCCACTTTGGAGTCCTGCCCACAGTTTGGGAATTGCTGGACTAGACAATCATAGTGGTCTCTTGGGCCATAAAGTTCATGAATTGGTCATCAAATGAAATTATTATGAAATTACCTGGAAATGCAGCTCCCACCTCACATTTGCCAAAGGGGATATTTTGCTGGACTCTCAGGGATATCTTCTCCTCAGGTGCTCCCAAGGGAGAGGAGGGGTGGCCAGATGGCAGTGCTTCCTAACCTCCCTTTGTAGCCTTCTATTGGGTCTTGTGCAGAGTTTGAGGAGAGAGGGTATTTTAATAACAACCTCTGCAGCTGGGCCATTCTTGAGTTGTGCAGATACTCCACATGCACAAAGGGATGGGCAGCACATATTGTTCCATCTGGTAGGGGATCTTTGAATAGGAAGTAAAACCACTGT